ACAGAAATAAAATTTAAACAAACTGAAAATCCAGTTTACGATATCAGAACTTCAGTTGTAACTAGTTATAATTCAATTTTAATTATAACTACTTGCAATTAAATTATTGATATCGATTGATACAATTGAATTCCTGATATCAAAAATGGGCATTTTAACTAGTTCGAATTTCAACTCCCATTGAAATGAATGAGAAAAACGTTTTGAATCTCACTAGTTAAAATTGATTTTCTGATATAAAGAATTGGCATTTTGACTAGTTAGAACTGAATTTGTGATATCCTCTAGAAATGGATTAAAGGTAAAACAGCTTGCCACACAGGTTAGCTTCCGCGTCGAGGCTCTAGGCTGTTGTACGCTGTATCGCATCAGCTGGCCACGCTGTCCATATATCTCCTGTGTTAAGCTGTTTCATTTGCGCACACTGAATTCGCTCTTCGGCGGACAAATGTGCTTGACAGGGATTTTCCCTCCCTGCAGCTGTGAAAAGTGCCTCAGGGTTATTTACCGCCGCCTGGCCTGCATCCGTGTGGGTGGACCGTGGGCTTCGAAAAGCTGGTCAAACGCAAATGTCCGCGGAGGGCAGTAAACGCCTCCCCTCGTCTCTGTCTCGCCGGAGGGACAAAGCTAAAACAGGCAAGCATGGAATTGAGGAATGTGTCTAGACGTTTATTTGACAGCTCCGTCACCCGAAGGGGAAGCTGTGTTTTGACCCCCCCCAAAAGCCCCAGGAAGCCGAGGACAGACGTGGGCTTTGTTTGCCAATAAACACAGTGTCAATCAGGGACACTATCTGAGTGCAGGATCAGGGTCGGGGATCGTGAACTTGCAGGGTGTTATGGATCACTCCCCTGTGGGCAGGAAAAAGCGACCTCACAGGGTGCACTGGCCACGGGGCCCCCACTCACCCCAGACCCCCAGCCAATAGCACTGGAAAACTCTTGGTCTCACACACATACTTACAGCTGAATCACTCGATGTGTCTTTCATTGCCATTCAGTTAATTTTGTCTCCCTGGATTTTTGCAATAACCAGTTGGAGTTTCACATATAAAAACAGGTAACTACCTGCTTTACTCATTACCCCCATCTAATACCAATTGGTCCACTGGACACAGTTTAATGTGAAGAATCGCCGACTTTGGACCCCGAGTGACATGGCTGTCAGTGTCACTATTATCACAACATGACATTATGCTTTTATTTTTTCTTTAACATTTATCATTGGGGAAATCTCACAGCAGAATAAATTCCCAGTAGACTAAATACCTATTATTTCTTAAGATAAAAGTAGTTATACTTCAGTGTCATTTACTGCAGTGTAGCTGTTGTGCAATTGAGCTGCAAAAGTAAAAACGGGTCAATTAAATCCAATTTACACACAAGCTAAACTAGTAATTAGTTGATCACACTTGGTGAAGACTGCTGTCTGTTAGTGGCATTTCATGGGTAATCATGTTAAATATCTTCCCATTAATTTTTACTTGGATATGATTGTGTCTGCTGATGTTAAACACTGATATGCAGGATATGATGTGTATACATCTGATACATATTACGTATTTGCACAGCAAACTAATAAACAAAGAAAACTCAACTATAATGGTTGAATCTAGTTTGCACCTTTAATCACAAAACACAGCAAACACTCGTCGAACAGTTAGATTTCGTACAGAAGTATTCAGCTTGCCAGTCATAAACCATAAGACTGCCATTCGTAATACAACTTGGGAAACAATCAAAATCATACATTGTTTTGTGGGTAAAACAACTTGGACAGCTTTGAAAGATAGAAAATTCCCTTACACCAGCTCCCAGGAAGGGAATCAGGTGATAGATTTACTATTAATCAGTCTAACAACACATTTTAAGTACATATACGTCATTATGTCATGCAATGCTGTGAACAGGCAGCTAAAATTTGGCAAAAATGCTTTGCTAGGCAACTGTAATTCTTCATATGTTGTACTTTTATTAGCTCAATATCACATTTAGCAATAGACAGGTATTAATATCAGACCGTTACAAATCAGGCTGTACTTTGTGCTGCCTCTATTTTTACATCCCCCCCACCCCGAAAGACCTGCAGTCTGGCTCAGTTCAGTTCACAACCTGATAAAAATGTAATTTGCTGTTGCAGGAGAAGTGAAACAGAGAGACCTGTGCCAAAAGCAGATAAAACCTTCGCCGTAATACAGTTTCCGCAAAGCATGCTGGCAGGTTCGGCCTCGTAATAAAGGCGTGTAGAAAGCTTCACCCTTTCTTCTATGCCATGCTTTCCAGAATTTCTTTCTCCTGGTACTGCTGAAATAAAGAAACCGGATTCTCCCCTGTAGCATAACCTGCACCCCATCAAACCTCTTCCAGATACATCGTCTCTGAGAGCCGCTTTCTGTTTGCTGACACCCTCCAACCCCTTGAAACGCTAATTTTCTGCTTTTGTGGCAGCAGACAGAGATGAAAAGTATTTGAACCCTGGTAGAGACGGTACATATGCTTGGTCTCCATAATGAGCGCTAACAGTCATTCTCAGAAACAGAAGGCATCTTAAATATGTCTATGTGCACCAAGCTTCATAAAAATCTATTTTGTTCTTTTCATTCTCCTGCAGCTGTGCAATCCAGCCTCTTCTTTGTACCAATCTTATTCATCAGGAGTGTCTGCGCTTTTCTTTTAGCACTGATTTCCTGTCTCCCCCTGCCCCCTCCTTCCTCTGTGTTCTGTCTCTCTAATGTCATTATTTCTAATCAAGGTATTTTTCTACAGAAGAACACTGGACCAGTGTGCTAATCAGACACCATGTCCGTCTGTCTGAACAAGTCAACACTGCATGGGCGAAGAATAGCCTGCTTTGTTTGCACTCATCCCTCTTTCTGTTTGTCTCTGCTTTTCTGTCTTATCTGCATGAATAGCTTAAGCTTGAGTCTCACTCTTTAAGTCAATTATTATAACTAGGGGATCTTAATTCTGCCTTTGTGGTAGAAGACAGATGAAAAGCATTTGAATATTTGGATAATCTTAATTCTCTTGTTAAAATTTGCACTCAAGAACAAATAAATAAATCTGGACAAAACTGAACACAGGAACGAGAGTAATTCCAAACAGTGAATGCAAACAACCATGTTTCCTGTAAAAAAAGGATTTTAAAGGCTTGTTTACCTTAAGTAAGGCATTTGACATTAAAGAGACTTGCCCCAAAGAACTATACTCGTAAGTTCAATGTAAGACAAATGGGTAGCACTTTACTTAAGGAGGCACAAGTAACTTAGTAACTCAATCATGTGCAAACCATGAACAAATATAGTAACTGAATGAAATACATGAACCATTATGACTGATTTATGATGAACCAATATGGGATCAGTATGTAACTAACACATAGTTCCTGTTTTATTAATCCATTAACTAAGAGTGTACTGCTACATTATTTGTGTCTCAAGTAAAGTGGTACCGAAAAACCAAAGCAAAACTATGTGTCCAGTACTAAATTGTGTGGTCAATTCCGTCACAAGGTGATGCTAATTTACTGAGACAAGTCAGAGAAGGATTGCAAGGCCCCCCAACTGGGGCGATGGTTTTTTCCATGAAATGTGGCTATTTCCAGATCGGGTTTCCTTCCTGTGCTGCGCTGTACTGTTTGTGGAATCAGTAGCATGCTCCTGTCTGGGGTGGAGGGCGGGGGCTGAGCCGGTGTGACCTTCCTTACTGCTCACTATCGCATTAAAATGCAAGCAGCAAGGAGCATTTTTTTAACTGTCTGGTGCCAATGGCTAAAATGCTCCCTCTCACAAAAAGCCACAAGCTGCTTTAAAAGAATTTCAAGAAGCTGGAACCAGAACCTCGGCCCAGGAAGGCTGGTGCTGTGCAGAGGAGGCAGATATGGCTCAGGATGTGCGACATTAAGAGTCTCGACTCCACACGGAATCATCTGGCCACGATGTAACTTCACTCCCGTCAGCCGTATCTTGCTGGTACCATGGTAACCATCCCTCAGCATGTAATGGGACCAGTGGACGAAAATGCACAAAGATACACACACCTGAGACCGAACCCTTAGGGTACCCAGCTGCAAAACGAGCTGATGTCCTTTCCTGACATCATATGAAGCCAGGGCGCTACACCAACAAACAGGTTTCAGATGGTGCACTCAAAAAACCTCGATGAATGCTTTGTTAATAACAACATCTCTCCTACACATAATTAAGGTATATTGATTATACACAGAGGTCACAGTTCTGCACAACTCATACACATAACAAATGTCAGACAATACAAGGATGAAGACAACAATAGATTTTTCTTTTAGTCATTATACAATAGTTTCTCTGTTTTATATAATTCTACTTAGAAGACAGCAGTTCAGCGAAATCAGAATTAAAGGCCACGTTTTTTTTTTTCCCGACAAAGCCATGAATAACAATACAAGGATAGTATCTAAACCACAGTCAAAAATAGTATTTCATCTATCAAACAAAACGAGTAAAATACCATACATTATAGAATAGCCTTAAATATTTATTTGATACTTGTAACAGTGCTGTGGTGTTTTTTTGTAGGTTTCTTGGCACAGTTCAGAAAAGGCAGTTTATTAAAACAGCATTTCAAAGCTGTTCTTCATCTTAGTTAAAAACATACAGAAACATTTAGGCTTAAAGCTTGTAATTAACAGTCTTAGAGTCACTCAGCTTTTGTTTCCCTCCCTACCGCTGCAGCACCAACGCATCTGCAAGAGTCCTTACCGACGCCTTGCCACTGTTTCGCAGGATTTATTACCAATGTGCAGCCTCACTGTTTCACTTGACTTCCTTATCAATGCATCCTTACTGCTTCACAGGCGTCATTACTGATGCCTCTTCACTGTTTTGCACGATTTTTTAATCAACACATTCTAAGCCAGTGTTTCCCAACCCGGTCCTCAGACGCCCACAGACGGTCCACGTTTTTGCTCCCTCTCTGTCATTGAGCTGGGAGGGAGCAAAAACGTGGACCGTCTGTGGGCGACTGAGGACCGGGTTGGGAAACACTATTTTAAGCTAACTTGAGTCAGTCGGTTTTGTTTTTTTCTCCATTTTTTTGTTCAAAAAGTCATCTATTACCAAATGTTTTAATCAGCAAAAGTCTGGTAAGGCTTCTTAAGGTTGAAGGAGGGCTTATTTAGAGGATGGAGCACGGATACTATTTACGTATGTGCACTATTGATGCATTCCGCCTACACTAAGAACCCTTCTGAGAAAGGGGGAGGGGGATGTTGCTAATTGGGGTACACATCTCAGCAGCCGGCAGCAGGACTGGTTATGCTAACAACCAGTTAGGCGTTTTCTGTCCCTTCAGCCTCAGCTGCAGATATGCAGGGTGCTGCCAGCCCCGGTCTTAAGAATTTAAACAGACAGTAAACATCCACATTTGCATTGTTTACCAGTGCTGTGTGATGGTGTCAGGCCATGTGCGGGTGCACCATCAAACAGATAAACCCCCCCCACCTACACCACCATCACCACCCTTCCCTGGCTACCACACCCGGCACTTTACCGGAGGGTTCATGGGGCTGCCTTGCTTGCAGTGAAATGCCTCTGAAAAAGCATCAAAGTTTTGCAGGGAACCCATGACTCTGAAGAGAGACAGAGTGAGAAAGCAGAACAGTTGACAGTGGTGCTATATCGCAGTTGTACCTATTTAAACTTTTTTTTTTTTCCCATTCTGGTGTAGTACCTTACCTGTACTCTAGGGGGCTATGTGAATCCGTCTTGATAGATTGGCTGGCATATTCAGGGCGATAGGAGCCGCACCACACCTGAAAGACAAGTCAAATGAGCTTCACTGCACCGAAATCCATTTAGGGTTTACATTGGTCAAGGTGGCTTTTTAAGCCATGTTGCTGGGCAACTGCTAACCAGGTCAGACAAAGGGCAATCTGGATCTGGATGATTGTGAAATGTTGCACACCACACATTAAAGTTTTTCAAATGGAAATTCGTTGCCCAATGTTAGGCTGCTGTTGTGCTTGTCACTGGAAGGTCACCAGTTCAAATCCCATGATTTGCACTGTTGAGCAAGGACCTTAACATCAAATGCTCCAAGGACTGTCTCACCCTATTTTCTTTGTCTAAAAGCATCTGCTCAACAAATAAAACATAATCCTAATAGTGGCAGTCAACTGCACAGGTCCCCTCTGCCAGAATGTTGTTAATTCCAGTTTCCAGCTTATTACACAAGGAAAAATAAGTGTTTTAGCTACAGCAGAACTCATACAAATTCTGTAGTGTCTGGATTCCCTCATGAGATGTTCTTGGGAAAGCACCATGATTAGCCTACTGAACTGTAAAATATTTAGCCCCGCCTTTTCCCCCAGTTATTTACATTATTTTTGGCCATCTGTGTCTGTGCACAATGATTTATTGGACTAAATTTATCTTTCATGTTTATCTGTTATTTCCATCTCTTTCCTCTGGGTCAGTACTTACAAATTTTTTCATGATGTCCATATTTTTCTTTCTTTCACAGTTCACAGTTTTCACAAAATTGTCTTGTTTCTGATTAACACAGAATATGCTCTACTGTTATTGTTTTTCTGGTCAATTATTATGTGTGTGAGTTAATTTGAGTTTCTTAACTCAAAACGCATATATTATTTTGCAGTTTCAAACTTTTATGAACTCATTTCTGACATCATGAACTCATAGCATTGGAAAACAATAAAGCAAGTATGGGCTTATCCCAGCAAAAACAGGTTTGGGCAGATTATCGCAAAATGGATCACAAAACATGTCCAGAAGTATTTAAAAGAGTGCAATACTAAACCATTTAATCATTAAGCAGTTTGGTATGACAGTGAGATCATGGAGCCTTGCTGTATTTGGAAAAAACACTAGAATGAGAAGAAAACTGTCACGAGATGGATAGCTAATGGAGAAGTCGATCTTTCAAGTTTGGCTAAATTGGGAACAGACAAGGAACTATTGAAGTTGAAAAGTGGATGTTCTGACTTGACTGCTGATGCCACAGTTTGTTTGCATTACCAGAAGTACTTTTTGGTGACATATATCTGTCCTCAAAAACAACGTTCTGACTCCCTCAACATGCATTCCAACAGCAGGGTGAGTAACTGAAGACCATAAATACAGAGACACCAAGTCTATTGGTATTGGAGCAAAAACTGATGAAGATGCACAGATGACTGAATACGAAGAGCTACACACCAATATCTGCAGGCCGAGAAGAAACGCAAGCTATGACATCAGTAAATGATGTGGAAAAGAACAGAATGAACGTAAACCTTACAAGTGCAGGATTTTCTCCCCTGAAGCCCAGTGCTATCAGCCAAACCAGCTATGGGGAACCTGAACGTTTTTAATTCTAGCAAGCCATTACACATGAAATTGCTCAATGTCTTGCAATGGATGTGAGAAATGTGAAGACTTAGACAGGATCAATGACTTACTGAAAGAAGGATTTATGAAAAATCAGTATTTTTACATGTCAGAAGCAAGTCGAGATGCTAACTTTAGCACCATCAAGCTGGTCAATTGCCAAGACCGTACAAGAATTCAGTTAGTGAGCACTTGGTTAAACTTGCCAGAAAGTTGATGGAAGAAAAGCGTGTCTTGGGGGAATTACTGACGGTATTTTTGCATACAGTGCGAATATGTTGTTAACTTGAAACTTTTTATGCTGAGACTGACAAAGTGTTTCTTAGCTTCAATAAAAGTTCCATTTTTAATATTTAATATTTCATGTTTCTGTGGCTATCTCCACAGTTACAAATGTAAGAAATGCTCGTTTACAGAAAATTATTAAATGATGAAGGAATAATATAACATCTCTATATTTTTATATATCTGCAATGAATATTAACACTTTCCCATAAAAAAAGTTTCAAGGAAATTAGAAAGAAAATATAGTCAAATTGTGTTAAAAAGTGTTTTCTAAAGCTCTGAAGCTATATTTAGCAAGATCTGTGCCACTCAATTTTTTTATGCGGCACCAAAAAACTTCTAAATGTCATAGAACTGTATTAATACACAGAATCAAAATTTGGTTGTAGGAAAATGAAAACTACTGGAGATTTTTGAAAATGAAAGATTCTTCATTCAGGCAATGTGTATTTGTTTGATTACTGTAAAACATTAAGCATCAACTATTTACATTTATACATGTTTCAAATTGTCCTTATTCTTAGTTCAGTACAAAATTCAGTCCAATCCAGTGAAAACTAAGCAATTGATGAGACTTTGAACACACATACAAAGAACTGCGAAAAGCCTCAAATGCCAAACTTAAAAAATCCATAGCTAAAAAAGTATTTGGAGTAGAGCTGTAGAATTTTGCATGGTCCCATGATTTTAATGGAAGTTTTCACATGAATTGTTTCAAGAAAGTCCATAACATGAACTGGAGGTCTTGGTGACTTGGTATGGAATGACCTGCATCTATGTCACTTCCAGTACATATTAACGTTGTAGACAGTGGTTGCCAATCAGCCGATGGTGATCTACTAGTCGATCCTTCAGACATTCCTAGTCAATCAGGACAATCAGACCATCGCCTTCACGCTGCTGCATCAATTAGCACGCTTCATTCTGCACCATCAGCTCACTAGCCATCTGTATCGCATGCTGAGATTGCTTTAGTATTTTTCTCTTGGTCTGCATTCAACACCGAAATACAATGCAGACATCCCACCTCTGCCAGAAGTTCCCTGACATCCACAAATAATGTGCAATGTTGCATAAATCTGTGGTTTTGCTGTCCCCTCCCCCAACTCACACACATAATAACTGAGCCGAAAAACAATAACAGTAGATCATGTTTTGTGTGAGGTTGCATATAATGACCCGTACCTGTATTCCATGGAACCTCCTGGTTTCTCTCTGAATTTACCACGAACTACTAACCAAGAATGTAACCCAGACTGTGCTAATGCTCATCTCTATCTGTGCACCACACCTGGGCAAAGTTGAGGAAGAAGAGCTGCTTGTGGTCCAGCTCTAAGCCTGGAAGTAGTGGCTCCTCCCCCTCTCTCTCCGCCCACTTCATGTATGCCTGACAGATAGACGCACATGTTAAAAAAGCCATACTCATCCCCACACACACTCAATGTTAATACAATGTTAATATGTACATACAAAGACTAACATAATGGAACACTCATACATCATATACTTACAAATATGATCACATACTTCTGTAAAAAAAAATTAAGAGACTTCACATTTTTAAACAAATGTGCATTTTTAAATCCTGGTTTAATCCTGGTTCTGCTGTCAGAAGGCTACACTGAGCAGCAGGTTGCTTCCAGATTCAGAATTTCTAAGACAGCGGTACACATGAACAAGGTGAAGCAGGAGACACTAAAGGGCGGAAATGACATTCTAATGCTGAAGATGACCGTTAACTTATCCGACAGTTTCTCATGAATCGTAGGATGACATCAAGTGACATTCAAAAAGGAATGGGAAACATTAAGTGCAGGTGTGAAGTGCTCTGCTAGGACAGTTCGTATCAGGCTCCTAGAAGCAGGACTGACATCCCATAAAGCAAGGAAGAAGCCCTTCATTAATGAGAAACAGGGAAGAACCAGGCTGCAGTTATATTATTCAAAGACACACACCCATAAGTAGAGAAATAAGTGAAGCAAAAAATCACGTTGTGGTCTCTTCTTTTTTTTCCATGGCTGTTTGTAAACAAGCACATATCTCAAATACACAAAACAAATTACTTCCGCATCCAGCATTCGGACTCTCTATCTGACTGTCTGCCAGTGCCTGTACCTTGTATGCTTGCCGGATGCCCCCATTGTCTGCTATGTTTTCCCCCAATGTGCTGATGCCACTGACCTGAAAGAGAGTCGAGTCACATGACCGTCAGCACATGCACCTCGGAATTTCACCACCTCAAACACTCTTCTTGTACCGACCTGCTCAGCCCATTGGGGTGCATTCTATGCCTTACCAGCTAACTATCTTGCATGTTACTTACTTCTATATGTTACATTTATATAAACAATTCTTCTCGCCTTTACACAAAAGTCTACATGCAGACTGAAAACTGTACTGCAGCTTTAACAGTGAAGACTCACATTCTGACCCCCTGCAAGCTTCCAGCAGAAGTTCCCATACTGCTGAACCATGCACTGTGATTGCTCCTTGAAATGCTCTGCTGAATAGTTACTCCACCAGTTGTTCATGTTGCCGTCTTTGTCGAAGTTCCGCCCTGCGTTGGTAATAGGAGACTATCAACCTTGCTGCCTGAAGGAAGCTGGACTTATATTGGGTTTATAATATTTTTCAGCAAAGCCGCGAATCCAGGCTGTGACCCCACCGTTATCATCAAAGCCGTGGGTGATCTCATGTCCAATAACCATTCCTATCCCACCAAAGTTGAGGGCCTGGAGCTGGTGTTTACTGAAAAACGGGGGCTGTAGGATCCCTGCAGGGAAAACTGTTGGACAGATAGACCAACTGAGAAGAAAGGTCTGGGGCAGAGGGATGAGATCTTCCTGACTATATGGACACTCAGAAGACTCCCTAAGGAGATTCCTCAGAATATTGACGGCATCTTTAAAATAGCATGAAGATCTTTAGCACTTCCTGGTGAGGGTCATCTTACCTATCTGGTTTCTGTTAGGAGAGTAGAAAGCATTGACAACTGCAGCTCCAATGATCCATCTGGAAATGTGGAGATTTATGGTGACAGGTTAAAGATTTTTTTCCAGATACACAGTATAAATCCTGCATAAATTCTCTGATTGTGGAAGTTTGCTGAAAATTATGGTAAAAGCGATTTTTATCCCCACAAGTCAGGATCCACTGGTTCTCTCAGCTTCCTCAGACTCTTCTGTGCCCCGGCGCGCAGGTTCTCCAGAATGTTCTCAAAGTAGTTTTCCTCACTGAAGTTCAGCTTCATCATTAAAAGGACAAGAGAAAGTATGTCAATTTCACACACACACACACACACACACACACGTTTGTAATTATATCTTTGTGGGGACTCTCCATTCATTTATATAGGAAAAACCCAAATCCCAACATGATGACCTTAACCCCTACCCAGCCCTAACCTTAACCATAAGTAACCAAACAAAATACAAGACTTTTGACTTTTTTAGTTTATTGATTGCAGTCAAAGATTTGTATAAAATTGAAAAAATTCCCCCACAACGTGAAAATAATACATTTTTATCACACTCTGGGGACATTTGGTCCTCGCAATGTATTATATACATAAACCACACACATACAGCTGGGGTCAGACCCCACAAAACTGAAGCTATGGGCCATCAGTGCTACCTCCTGATGTATAATACCACCTAAAACCATGCATCCATCAGATAAAATATGCCTGTTTTTACGTAGGTCGAACCAGTCGTGGCTCCTCCAGCCCTTACATGAGCATACTCCTGGTCCAACTTCTGATTTCCTTCCTCCAGGATGTGGTCAGGGTATCCTATCTGTTCCTTGATAGAGAGAGCCTGTATCACAGTAGGACAAGCAATGTGTCATTCACAGTACATCAGCTACTACGTGCAAGGTCACCACTCACTAGTGATGCTGTACTCAGCACTGACCATCACAAAACACCAGAGACACCATTAATTATCTGTGACCCTCTGTCTAAGGGTAAATGAACATGGTGACATATTGCTCAGGGCCAGTAGTGCAGAGCAGAGTGCATCTAGTCCTGCTCTTGGCTGTCAGTGTGTTCCACCTCTTTCAGCTGTCTTCAAATGAAGAAGTTGGTGTAAGAAGCTAAGTAATTCAGCTGAAACTGCTGCAAGTACACAATTAATGACTTAATCCAGTGTTTCCCAAGCCTGTCCTCAGGGACCCACAGACAGTCCATGTTTTTGCTCCCTCACAGCTCTCTGCCAGACAGGCCACATTTTTGCTCCCTACCAGGAGCTGAGAGGGAGCAAAAATGTGGGCTGTCTGTGAGTCCTGGAGGACTGGTTGGGGAAACACTGACTTAATCAGCCAAGTAGGAAATAGAAGAAAGTTGGCCTCCATAAACGAGACAGTAGACCCCTCTTGTAAGTATCTTGCTGTGGAGGTACTCCTCACCTTCTCTCTGGCCTTCTCCTTTGATTGTGCATCCATCCAGGTCAGCTCTTCAAGTGTCTCCACATAGGCTTCCTGAACCTTGCTGATCAGGTCCTTTACCTATATCAGAGTGACCTGGGCTTTAAATAATCGACACGGCACTCACATACCACCAGAAGCATGTCAATACAATCACAGGCGCCCTCATCCGGTAGCTCAAAAGGACACGATGGAAGTTCTTTGTGCACGAGAGTCTCACCATGCGTTTGCTCTCCCCAGCGAAGGTCTCGCGGACATAGAGGGCCCCCACCGCATTCTCCATGCTGCTCTGCACGTAGCGCACACAGTCTCGCCAGCGTGCCTCCTCAACCGTCGTGCCATACAGTACCTGAATAACAAAGCATATTTCATGTCAAGCAACGTAAGAAATGTACCTTTGAGACGCGAACCCTTAAACCAAATACCTTGTAACTTTTTCTCCTACTGCCTCTGCCTTACCTTCCTGTAGTGCGCTCGCGCCTCCTTGAAACGCCGACTCAGGCTGCTAACCCGTTCAATAATGAGCTGCCAAGTGAGGTAGTTCTGGAGAGTTCTGTTAGAAGAAGCATAGAGCAACTTATTTCATAAATGAAACAGGCAACCTCTCATCACTGTACAATTACCTATCAAAGATGACAATTAATGTAAAAGCAGGTCAACAGAACATGTGCCATTTCTGTAGGGTGCAGTTTTATATTAGATTTCTGCATGCAGCCCAGCCTTCACCCATCTCCTCTCTTAGATGTTACCTTGTGTCATGCTTCACAAGGACATTGCTCAGCTTCTGCAGGTAGGGGAAGCCATACACCACCAGCTCCTCCTCCGGTTGCACGTCGATGCCCACACTGGAAAGCACACTCCGCACAAACCGAGTCCAGTTGAAGCCCTGCATTGCCACACACAATCAAGAGCCACACTGTTTTTAGGGCGCACCTCTCCAACCTGTGCTGCGGCATGAAGCACAGAGCATGCTGGGAGTTGACATACATTCAGGTTGAAGGTCTCCTGCACCTCACTAAGAGTCATCTTGTTGTAGAGCAATGTGACATCCTGTCGCTCTTCAGAGGGGGACGTGGCCTGCATGAACATAAGGGAGCAGCCCGCTGACATCACCCCATCTCCATATCAGTTTCAGCATGTTAAAATACAGTCTCTATGGTAGTACTGATGTAGGAACAACCTTCCAATACAAGTGATCACAGTGTTTGAGAAGCTGTCAGTGAATGCTCACATTAGCAATGTCTGTCTCCAGCTCCATCACCAGTGTCATCTCCTCCCAGACATGTTCATCATCCTGCGTCAGGTTCCTGTCCTCCCTGGCAATCTTCGCCATGGACACCATAAACTTAAAGTAGGCCTCTCGTACCTGTCACAGAAGCATGCAACCAAGCACTTACTGACCTCATTTCATTGCAGCAATCCCACTTCATAATGTTCAAGCTAGACTGAAGAAGAAGCCCTACCTTTTTGTAGTTTCCATCATTGAAGTAATAATCCCTTGACGGCATCCCTAGCCCAGGTTGATCGATCTGTGGGTACAATACGCTCATTGGAACGTTACTTACACAAAAATGTTCTGAGGGCAGAAGGAGAAATGATTGGTTCAGAGAGATAAGCAATCAGTTGTCTTGGTCCCTCCTCCTCTAGTTACTTGGCCCGACCTCCTCTACAATCAGATTGGCTATCTCTCTGAACCAATCATTTTTCGCTCTGCCCTCAAAACATTTTGTGTTAGTAAAACTCCCTCAAGCAAGCAATACAAGCATATAGTACAAATGAGTTCCTCTCATGATGCCTCCCCAAAACGATTTTATTCTAGATTATTGCTGATGAATTTTAATTAATGAGATGGGATACAGGATTATTTCTCAAATCAATAAACAACCGGCTTGTGATGAAAGTGCTTCAAGAAGGACAAGACCCTGAAAGGTCGACAAAAGTACAGAGGCGTCATTACATAGATGATGTGTCGGCTGGAATCACGATCGTCCGTCCACACAAACAGGTCCACCAGAACCTTCTTGTGGAAGCGAGCATTGAGGATGGCTAAGGTGTCTTCCAGACTCCACGGCTCACCTAGAAGAAGACCCAGGTGCACTATGTGACAGGGCAGAAGCCCAGGGAGCTCTGTTATCTTTGTCAGAACTGTCACATCTGAGGGAAGACAACTACTCTCCCCCCCAACCCAGTGCTCTGCTGCTCTACTGATCCGCAAAGACCCAAACCTGGGAGCTCCACCGTAAGTGATTCTGCATGGAATTTTTGCAATCGATCCACAGGAATTTATAAGCACGTCCTGGGTTCCCACCTCCTGTGCTGTTCCAGTCCTCTGAGGCCACAGGCCAGTCCCCAATGGAGTCAATAAGCTTCAGCAGAGGCTGGGAATCACGCTGCTCAATTAGGCCTGCAGGGCATTGTTAGGGGGATAATGAGCCAATCAGAAAAAAGACAATGGTGTTGAGTCCATAACACAACACTCTGGAACATCACTGTCCAATCAGGAAGATCTTTTATGAATGAGTTTAACTCTGGTTTATGCTATTTGTGGTTGCATTGTGGATTAGACTCACTCTCGTTCATGCAGGAAATGTACAGGGTCTTCGCTTTTTTGAAGGCCTCTCGGTCCAGGTCACTCTGGGTTTCCAGAACCCCTGTCAGAAATTGGAAAGTAGTACAGACCCTTATGATTCATGTGACATACAGGATTGATAATCTTTAACACCAATATCCTACATAAATGGCAGGAGGGCCTTGTTGGTGCACCATCTTCTTCAAGGGTCAAATGAAATCAAAAGAGCAATTCCTAGTTACTAGATATGCTGCTAAACTACTAACCTGAAGTTCCTTCTGACAGTGTCATTTTTGTGGATAATTAATGAGAACAGTACTGCATAAGACTAAACAAATTAATTTATTAAACAATAACTTAGTGGGCATGTCACCAACCCGCCAAATAACATTTCATCTTACAAGGACAATTCAAGCATATATTGTTAACTTGCTCTCCATCTTCAAGGTAAATAGCTACAATACACACAATTTGTATAGTTTCTGTCATTTGTTCAGTTGGCCCAGTGTAGATCACGTTGACAATTGCGTGTTGTTGGATCTTTGGCTTGCGTAGATGATGCGTAGAGAGCCCTACCCTTCAGCACAATCTCCAACTCGTCCCTCAGGATGTCAAAGATGCTATGCCGGGAGCTGGTCTCTGGGATCACGTGTCTGTCCAACCAGCCCCCGCAGGCATACTGGTAGAAGTTTTGGCAAGGCTCCACCTTGGGATTCATGTTCTGAAGGAGTCGAGCAGCTGGGCAGCACGAAGGTGAGCAAGAGGGAATACAGGATCTTGGCATATTTGTTTTGACTATGCTGGCAGCAGTATGAAGAAAATTACAAAAATGCTTAAATTAGTCAGGACTCAATATATTGCCTGAACTTTCACTGGAAGTTGACAGGGGAACAACACTGGGCTCTGGACACTCACCTGAAGTGACACAGTCTGCGGTAGTACACACATTGTTAATGCTGGGACGATACAGCGCACCTAGAATGGCAAATCAGTAGAGAAAGAGCTCAGACCTAATCGTTCATTTAGGGCGCTTTTCCACCGCACAAAGTACGGTACTTTCGGTACGGTACTTTCGCTTTGCCATTGACTTCCGGTCGAGTACCAGTACCGAAAGTTCCAGTACCGAATGTGCCAAACCAGCTGGGGTACTTTTTTGGTACTTCGGTACTTTGGGGTGGGACTTGCAAAAGTATTTGCTGTCGATTGGTTATGCAAATATCCTGCCGCTGAAACACAAAATACAACCGCCATCTTTTGAAACACACAGCGAACAGCGAGAAACAAAATAAAAAGCAGTAGAAACAAAAATATAAAAAAGTAAAAATGGAAGGATGGACAAACGAGGAAACAGACTTCAATCGCCATATGGTCGGATGAACAGATCCAGCGGGATTTGGATGGCACGACTCGAAATAAAAAAGTTTTTGCCGTTCCGGGCAATTCAGTTTCCGTGTTTCCCCTGTCGCGCGCTGATTTGTACATGGTTTCGCTGTTGTTTTAATGTCTTTTACGAAGTTCTTGAGGTAAAAAAGCCATACATTTTAAAACATCACATGCCTTTTCGATGGTTTTGTTTTTGCAGATAATAAATGAAATTATTTAATTCGCTGGATAGAGATATTTCTTGATGAAAACTGTGAAGTATTGCTTATAAGACTATATTATGC